GAACCGAGGTCCCTGTGCTTTGCCAAGCTTGTTTCAAGTAGGTGCTTTAGACCATTGAGCCATCTCTCCAGCCCCTACAAAGCTTTATTTGTAAAACTAGGTGTTACTTGGAATTGGCATATGGGTCAGGTATTACACTAGATTAGGTTTGCTTCAGTTAGTTGAATACTGGAAGTACTACTGACAGGTCTCTAGGATGCTTCAAAGATCATAATTTTTAAAAAAAAAAAACAATACTTTTAGACAACTTAAAGCCATCTGCCTTTTATTTTTATTAAGTTCTTTGTTCAAAGAGTAACAATCCCATGGGAAAATTTTGGCAGTTAAATATTTTAAGGGGGGCCGGGGAGATGGCTCAGTGGAATAAGTGCTTCACTGGCACGTGCAAGGGCCTGAGTTCAATCCCCAATTCCGCCAAAAGGAAAAAAAAAAGTATTTTAAGGAAAAACGTTCCTTTATCAGTCATATTTTAGCTTCACTCTTGTTTTTCACAATTACTTTTATGAGAAGGCCTGTTGAATAAAGTAGAAGAGGTTCATATTTAGAACTAGCCTGTTAGGAGAGAAGGGGTTTTTGTCCTTTGACTCCACATCTTTTAATGCCGTCAGTTGTCTTGCCTTGCTTTGATTGTATATATAATTTGGCTCTTTGTGGGTTTTTTTTCTCCCCAGAATTCCGTTCTGGAAAAGCTCCCATCCTCATTGCCACGGATGTAGCCTCTCGTGGGCTAGGTTTGTATAGATAGGTGTCTCTGTTGGTGGTTTTAATATATCTTTTGGTTTAAAGATTTGTTAATTGAAGTTTAGAGTTGTATATACATGTTTAGTAAAAAGAGAATATAGTTTTTCCCCCCCTCTCCACAATTTTTTTTCATCCTTGTTTTTTATTTTTTTGGGGGGTGGATTCTCCCCTTTTATTTTCAAAGTCTCTTCCTGCTCCTAACAAACAGGCTTTGGTCTGCAGCAAGGCCTAGGCATGACTCTTCGGTTAGAGGGAGAGGAGACACTCAGATGGACTTTTGATTTTAACTTCTTCCTGATGAAGTTTTTATTTTCTGGCTGGATAGAAGGAGCCTGATCAAATCTAGCTATCATGAGCTAGTTTATTCTAGTTACTCTTTTTTTTTTTCTGTATCATTTTGTCTATTGTACATAAAAGCATAGAGAGAGAGAGAGGCCCAGTTCCATGGATCCTTATTAAGTGAAATTTAATTAGCCTATATTATTTTATTCAATTAAATATGTATTGCCTGGTGTTACTTGCTGAAGTAAATTAATAATGGGCTCTCAGTTATCCTTTTTTCCCACCCATACTTGTATCAGGTATGTGAATTCTGAGAGCTTAATCAGTGTTCTGGAGCTTTGACCCATTATGATCAATATTGTGGTACTTTAGCCCAGCATTCTGAGCTAAACGGGTATGACTCAGAGCTTTCATATTTGAAAAGAGAAGATTTATATCACTAGGAAATCTTTATAAACTGTCGACAGTAATTTCTAGTCCAGTGAGGTGAGAAGCACCGTATTCCCATATATCGTTTAGAGAAAACAGGCATTTACACTGGACTAAAAAATGGTGGCGCCTTTTTATCCATTGGACTTATCATTCCCTCCTTCAGAGGTGGTGACCTGCAGCCATGACGAGGAGTTGTCTCTGCCCTCTGAGGTCATGTCTGGAGCTGTGCCGTTAGAGCTTGGGCCTGTTGGGAGAGAAGGCGGAGGCCTGAAAGCAGTTCACACAAATGCTTTCAGTGATGGTGGTTTTTAAACAGGCTTGCTATGTGCTGGTAGCTTCTTTGTGCATCTTGCCTAGACAATTAAAATATTCGCTGGATGTTCCCCTATATTTCTAAACCAAATCAATTGGCTACCATTAGAATAACTTAGACTCTTCATCCTGCCCCCTCTCATCCAAGTGAGGGGAGAGGGAAGGTACCTGAGTCTGTTTCTTGTTACTCAACATCAGTGTTTACTTTGGGCCCCTTTATTTGCTGCCTTGTAAAAATCAAAGGAGGGAGAAAACCCACCAAAATGGCAGAATTCTGACCAAGGTCCTACACGATCCTGGAAAGTGAAGGCTTCTACCTCATAGACAGGGGTGCAATTTTCAGCTGAGTCACCAGGCCTTTTTTCACTTCCTGTCAAGCGATGATCTCTTAAATGTTCCCTTCAGGTAAGTTCTTTGCTTCCCCTAATTTTATAATAGGCAACCACAATGCCCTTTCCACTGGGATATTTTTAATTTCCTTTTTTGTTTAAGCTGCGCACTGTTAAATTAAAAGTATTGAATTTAATTTGTTTTGTTTTTTAACAGAAGCTTTGCTATCAGCTGCAGATCACCCAATACATGGCCAAGGCAAATCTACATTGGCCCGAAGCAGCTCTAGATGAGCCTGTTGGCTAGTCTGAGAACACTTCCAATTAGCAATTGGATATTCAGGCCATGTGTAGGGCTTTCCAGACCACAGGTTCTTATTTGCTTACTGGCCAGAATGTTCACTTTTCTATTTCTTACCCTGCTACAGCATCTTCTATAAAGGCAACAGGATAATATATTGGCAGTGCATAAAAATAACAGCAGGGCAGGCTTGCCTGGAGAAAACCAAAGTCTGCTCTTGCTCTCATGTGCCTCGGCCAGCCATGTGTACTCACAGGACACCTTTCTAGTATGAAGAACTTGCATCATGTCCATCCCTTTGAGCCCCACCAGAAGTGCCCCCAAACACTAGTATCTGAACTGTTGGCTGTAGCCCCAGTGCTTTCTGGTAGGAATTACTGTACATCCAGTGCAGTAGTTCACCTTGCTCTGCTTCTCATGGTCACATTCCATGCAGGTGACTTGGGAGCATTGTCCTAGCTCAAAAGATGCGGTCATGGAATATAATACCCCATGCTCCCCCCTGCCCTACCCTTATATCCATGCCCTGTACACTTTTTCTTTGTAGCATCAACGACCCTAGCCTGAGACTCACGCTGCCCCCTGTGATAAGTGCCTTCTCGTCTTTCTGGTGTGATTCAGGACTTAGGGGTCAGTAACGACCGAGGAGCCTTTATTGTAATAAGAAACAGACATCCGCCCTTTCTCCACAAGCCCTACAACAGCTGAATTTTTTTTGTTTTTTAATCACCTCCCCTTTCCCCCTGAAATTATTCCAGTCTGGGCAATAGATGCAGTCTGACCCTTTGGATGTAACTTACATTTTTTTTTTTTTTTTTTAATCATTTTTTTCTACAATCACCCCAATTACCTTGGGGGAGGCGTTGGAGGACCTGAAATTTTTACCCAAACCCAGGTTCTCCGGCGCTTGGCAACCAAATGGGGCTACAGAGAAGCATCTAAGCCAGTTCACAGAGCGAGCGTGTGTGGGGACTTCTCACTGCCACGGACCCTTGATGCATGCTCCCCGCGCTCCAGTGGTCCCGTGTCAGAAGGCGGAGTTTTCGAAAGGAGGCCGCCAAAAATAAAAGGCAAAGAGACGGGATCGGCTGCAGCGGTTTCCCAAAGGAGGAGGGAGTGTGCATCGGTCTGGTAACAAACAGAGAATGTTTTTTAATTATTTATATCACAAAAATCTGTGTTTTATCTAGGATATTTTCTGAATATTCTTTGTAAAATGCAGATTTTTTCCACAAAACATTAGGATTCTGTTTATTAAATTTGTTTGTTTTAAGTAGGTAAAAAAAAAAAAAAAGTACATTTAGCTAAAAGCATTACACTAACATTTACATGATGTAAGTATTAGGAGGTTATTCAGCCCAGTTCCCAGCAGTGGACAGAATGTCAGACTGAGTCTCAAGGTTTCATGGCTTTTCCCACGTTCTTTGGCTATTAATTTCTCAGGTCACAGAGACTATCTTGATCATTGAAACAAGTAATAAGTCTGAAATAACCTTGAGTTGAGCAAAAATGCATCTGATAGAAGCTGGGTTTGGTAGTACAATGAAATTTTAGTGTAATGTTCTCTTCTGGTAACTGAAGAGGGAAAGGTAATGTGGATATTTCTGCAAAGAAAAAGGTGTGTGCTTTGATCAGGTTTTTTTAATATAAGAACAAGGAAATTAACCTAAAGATGTGTTAAGTTGCCTTGAAAATGTAGTAATAAAGTATATGAAGCTCCTTTTTTCATTTTGCTCTGTGACTGGTTTCAAGGTAAGTTTGTATGTTTTTGGTAGATTTTGCCAGGCTTCTCCCAACAGAGTAGAAGTGATTTGGCCCTATAACTTAACAGTGGATACTGCTTTTCTTCTGCACCTAGTTTTGAAAAGGTGGCACTGGAATTTGTCAATCTGAAGACCAATCTTGGCACAACTCCTGTGTATATATATGCCTGTTACATCAAAAGAGGCAGGAGTTCAGATGGTTGAATGGGATTCCCTTTAGGATTTTACAGTCAGTAAAGATGCAACATCCCATACATATCACAAGAACCACTAATCCTCTTTTACTCTGTTGGGATGAGTCTTTTTTGTCCCCTCTCAGTGTGGTTACTAACTTCGTCTTTTTTCCTCTTGCTGTCATCTGCACTCGTGCTTCCCACCTGTGGGCATGTCCTTTACCTTCTCTTTCCCTGCCACATCAACCTACACACTGACTCATCATGGACTTCAAAGATGTGGAAGATGTCAAGTTTGTCATCAACTATGACTATCCAAACAGCTCAGAGGATTATGTGCACCGTATTGGCCGAACAGCCCGAAGCACCAACAAGGGCACTGCTTATACCTTCTTCACCCCAGGGAACCTAAAGCAGGCCAGAGAGCTGATCAAAGTGCTTGAAGAGGCCAATCAGGCTATCAATCCAAAACTGATGCAGCTTGTGGACCACAGAGGAGGCGGCGGAGGAGGGGGTAAGGGTAAGTCCTGGAACTTTCCAGGTACTACCAAAGGTATCATCTTTTACATGTTCGTTGTACTTTGTTTTTTAATCATGTGAAGGGGAGTACTCATGACTTGTAAAAGAAAGTGATTGTCCTACTTTTGTACCACACTCTTCTGTGGATTATCTAAAAGTGATACTAGCCTGTAGTTCCTTTATACCTTCAAAATATTTAGTATACTAGGCTTTATGTTTTCCATATGAACAGATGTTTAATTATATACTATTCTTGTAGAAATTGAGGCATTATATTTAACTCTACACAGTTGGAAAATACACTAGGATGTACACTTCCTAATTCCCAGTTCAGTATGGTGAATTGAGTTTCTAGGTTATTCACATGAAAAAGGTCTAACTAGGTGTGGTATGATCCAGAAATCTCAAGAGGCCAGGGCAGGAGGATAGCAAGTTTGAGGCCACCCTTAACTCTGTTGACTTTTTGTTGAAATAAAAAGGCTAGGGATACTGCTCAGTGGTAGAGCACTTCTGTAGCATGCACAGAGCCCTGGGTTCAGCCCCTAGTACCACAAAAGAATGAGTCTAAAAGGGCAAAAAGTTAGGTCAAGTACTTAAGAGTAGGTCTAGACTTGCTGAAATTAGGGCATCAGTGTGGAATGTCTGTCCTCTTTGAGTTTTTAATATTTGGATATGTTTGCCTCCTGTAGCTGACATTAAAAAATACCTTATGTCCTTCCATCAGGAGGTCGCTCTCGATACCGGACCACTTCTTCAGCCAACAATCCCAATCTGATGTATCAGGATGAGTGTGATCGGAGGCTTCGAGGAGTCAAGGATGGAGGCCGGAGAGACTCTACAAGCTATCGGGATCGTAGTGAGACCGATAGAGCCGGTTATGCTAATGGCAGTGGCTATGGAAGTCCAAATTCTGCCTTTGGAGCCCAAGCAGGCCAATACACCTATGGTCAAGGCACCTATGGGGCAGCTGCTTATGGCACCAGTGGCTATACGGCCCAGGAGTATGGTGCTGGCACCTACGGAGCTAGTGCTACCACCTCAACTGGGAGAAGTTCACAGAGCTCTAGCCAGCAGTTTAGTGGGATAGGCCGGTCTGGGCAGCAGCCACAGCCACTGATGTCACAACAGTTTGCACAGCCTCCAGGAGCTACCAATATGATAGGTTACATGGGGCAGACGGCCTACCAGTATCCCCCTCCTCCTCCACCCCCTCCGCCCTCTCGGAAATGAGGCTACTTGAGGGGGGGGGATGACTTGTGCAGACTTAATTACATAAAGGAACACCGACTTCCCTTTTATTTTCTTTCTTCCCTTTTCTTTATTTTTTTATCTTTATTTTTTCTCCCAACCATTGCAATTTGCCCTTTCATGCAGATTAGTTAGAATTCACTGCCAGGTTTCTTCTGCCTGCCAAAATGGTCCAGTCTGTAATAACAGATTTTGTAAAAAGTATATAACTGACTGGAAGAGATTAATTTCTTCCCCCAACTTTGCATGTTGAGGATATCTGAGCTATTTTTCATTTTTAAAAGAAAAAGTAAGGTATTAGGCTCCTTCATGGGAGCCAGTTTTTCCTTGTCCTGAGTTGATGGGGAGGGAAGGGGGGGGTTCTGAATTGTTCTGCAGAAGAAAGTGGCATCTGTTGTAAATGCTCTCATCCCTGGGTTACAAAACCAAGAAGGTTACACATTTTTCATAATGGTTTTTAATGTTTCTCAAGTTGGGTCCGGTTCCTCAGTTTTTAAGACCATGCTTTGCTGTTGTCATTTTGGCTCATAATGGCTTAAGTGCATTTGCCAGTTAAAGCTTCCTAATTGGTTTTGTATCCCTTACTCTGCCTTTCCTCTTTTCCCTCACTGTTACTTGAAAAATAGCCAGTTTAGTGTCAGTTTAGAAAATGAATTGCTGAGTCTACATGTATCTTTTTAAGTTAACTGCAAGCATTTCTCACACTGGTTAAACTGTAGCATCTCAGCATCTGGGTAAAAGCTACCTGTTTTTCTTCCCCATATAACCAGGGACCATCTGTGAAATTGATTTTTTAGCCAGCTGCTGTGAGCAAATGTAATAAATGCTCACTGGAAATTAACTTTATTGAAACAGTTGAGTCTGCATTTGCCGGCATTGTAAGAAGCTTCTTTATTTATAGTATACTCAGAATGGCCAGATTTTTGTTTTTAAAGTCAGTATTTGTAGAGTAAGAGCAGCTCTTTGCCAGCCTCTCTACACCTATGGCCAAATTTTCTTGAGCAAAGACTGAACCCCTCTAGCCTCTCCTTTGTCCTCTGCAGTGCTGTGTAACAGCCCTATGGGTGCACAGTGTCCCCTGCATCCTTCTGCACTCAGCTCTTCACAGGTAGGTAGTACTTAGGAAATGATCTGGAGGAGAGCCAAAGTTGGGCTTTTTTTGTTGTTGTTTTTTAATACTTTTCCTCTGAATGAAGGTAGGTGAATTTGTCCTCTTGTAATACTGCTTTGCTGAGACTTCATAGCAGGTAGACCTGGAAAGGAGTTTCTGCTCTTGGTTCACTGTAAGCACGACAGGGCAATCAAGACAGTTCCAAAATCCCTTTCCAGATCCAGTGTGATGGAATAATTTTTATTCTAGTACTGGTACTGTTTGCACACAGTGGAATTAAGAGTGGACTGAGAGTGCTTGCTAGTTTATAAGGCTTAAATACTGAAATACTTCCAATTTTTTGTTTTCCCTTTAAAATCCTACAAGGAGAAAGAAGGGATGGTTTCTGAGGGGTTCTGACAGTATGATTCAGTGTGCAGCATACAGGTAGGTTATCCGCATAAGTTGAAATGTATATGCATGTTAAAGCCTTTCACAGCCTTTCTTTGTTTTTTTACCTCCCCTTTCATTTTGTTCCCCATCTTAGAGGTGGAGGCCAAGGGAGGATGGTAGGAATAGAAGAAATGTGGCAAAACTGCTCTTGGCTTTCAAATTTCAGATCAAACTATTATTGTTGCCACTACAACCCACCTCCCCCATCACCCTCATCCAGAAATGTCTCTTAGGTACTGACAAGTCAAGAAATTTCTGATATATTTTTCTTTAAACCTAGAGATGCTACCACAGGAAGTGTCCTCTGTGCAGCTCCTACAAACACCCATTTCAGGGCAAGGTCTTGGTATGCAAGCAGCATCTGAAGTGCTTGCTTCCCCTTCAGGGACATCGTAATTAACAAAGTAACAGCAAATTTCAAGTGCTTCTGTGGTTTGAGCACAGCTGAAATCTAGCAAAACTTTTTCTGTTAACTTAAGGTAACTTCCATTTTCCTATCATAGTTCAGGTTCTGCTCTTCAGAACAAGAGCAAACAAGTCTTGATGCATTCATGTTTGAAACTTACTTATGCAGAGGGTTTCAGTATTAAACTGTGGGCTGCTTCTCCCCAGTCTCTTCCTTGCAATTCATTGTGTGGACTTCATCTAAAAGGTTGGTGGCTTTTGCTTGGGATCAGTGCTCTACTCATATCCTTGCTGGTCTCTGAACACATTCCTGTTGCATTAAGACTTGAAAGATTTGTAGATGTGTGATGTTCAGGCGCAGGATGCTAAGCTATGTTACTATTCTTAGTTTGTAAATTGTCCTTTTGATACCATCTTGTTTTCTTTTGTAGGTATAAATAAAGATACTGTTGACAATAAGGTGTGAATTTTTTATTGTTCAAAACATTTCAAGACAAGTTGGGTATTCGATGGACTAATCATATTAGCACCTAAAAATCAAAGGAAGTGGGATGATTGGTCTTAGTGCAAGCCTTTAACAGGGCAGGATACTTGGTAGGTAATGGTGGTTTTAGTAGATCAATAAAATAATGATAATGGCAGTGGTGCCACCTAAGCTGGCATTTGGGATTGAGTACAGGGTTCACATGAACGATAGTAAAGTTTGAAAGGTGAGACACAAATGATGTCACTTTCTGCCCAAGCTAGTACTAAACTTGTGGCTTGAAAACTGGAAGATGACATTGCCTTTTAAAAGCTTAACACCATTATATCCTGAGTAACTATTTGGTCTAGCTGAAAAGAAAAAACTGGCCCCCAACGTTCCAGCTAAACTTTAGTTGGGGCATTCTTAAAAACAGGCTGTCTTTCCAGATGGTTGTGACTGGCAGGAGTCCCGTGCCAGGGCTTTAAAGTACCTATATTCCATTCGTGGGTGAGTCACCTAAAGGTTTCAGTGAATATTAGCCCCAGACTGCAATTGGCCTCTACTTTTCATCACCCCCATTGAGGACTTAGAAGTTGCTGCTGTGAGGTCTCAGTGAAATAACCAGTTGTTTGCTTAAATCCATACCATGCATTTTTCTGGCATTCTACGATTGCAAGTCATGGGTAAGGAATCACCCATGATTCCTTCCGTGTCCTTTTTAAGGTGTAGGTCATCTTTGAAGCCCTCAAATTGGCATTGGAAGACTTAGCTTCTTTCCTTTAAGAACTAGAAAAAAGACAAATTAGAGTTTACCTTGTTGACCAAAGGACTGTTTCCTTTGCATGATTCCAATATTTAGCCTCTGGTTCACAGTGTCAGTATTAAAGCTGGGGGGCCCAGCAAGATAGCTCAGCAGACCAGAGCACCTGCTTAGGCAAGCACGGGGACTGGTTCAATCCTGACGCTACATGCTGCACTAGCCCTGCCCAAGGGCGAGCTGCGCTGCCACACAGTTTGGGCATGGTTGCAAGTGCCCGTAATCCCAGTGCTGGGGAGGCTGAAAACAGGCTCACTATGAGTCTGAGCTACGTAGTGAGACCCTGTAACAAGCCAAATACATTTTAAAAAGGAATATTAAAGCCAAGGTGAGGGCTGGGGAGATGGCTCAGTAGAATAAGCACTTCCCTGGCAAGTGTAAGGGCCTGAGTTCAATCCCTGGTTCTGCAAAAAACAAAAAACAAAAAACAAAAAAAAAAAGGAAAAAAAAATCCCAGACAAGATAAAGCCAAGGGGAGAGTGGGCTAACCAGAGACACATTTTTAGGATATAAACTTAGCAATTGGTCTCAATTCCTTTATTCTCTGCTAGTACAATCCAAGTTCCTCACTTCAGTTCCCACAACATTTTGCCTCTGCTGACACCTGGACAGTTTAAGTTAGTCCGTAAGTAGCTAGTGCTCCTTCCTATTGGTGGGTGGTTTTGTTTTCTCATGTTTCTGTGGGTTTAGTTTTATTTTTAAAATGTTTTTAGTATAGGGTCACTACACAGATGGGACTCAATAGTGAGGCTCCTGTTTTCAGCCTCCCAAGCGCTGGGATTACAGGTGCACCACAACACCCAGTCTCAATCACCATCTCAGTGCGCCCTGGCCGGCATCACCAGGGGTTAACTCCTGGTCCCTGTGTCTGCCTAAGCAGGCACTTTAATCTGCTGAGCTATTGGGGCTGGCCCACTTGGTTTTTTGAGCCAGCCTCAGCTATGTGGTTCAGGGTGGCCTTAAACTCACTACATAGTGAGTTGGCTGCCCAGACCTAGGCTTCCAAATGCTGGAATTACAGGCAAGTGCCAGCATACCCAGCCAGTGGGTTTTTGGTTTGCTTTTTAAATGGACCCTCCAGTCCTGATTCTTGGCAAAAAAAAGTGTCAATCCCTTACCCTGGTTGTCAAGGCCTTATGAGTTGACCTGGGTAACTCCAGGTTTGTTTATTTGAACCTACCAGCCTTTGTTGCACAGTCACATCAAATTGGCTTCTTTGGAATGTTTTTCTGTTTTCCTGACTAGTACATCAGATAATCACCTCCCAGCTCCCTTGCCTATACACAGTTTGCACAGTACATGTAATACCTTTACAGGGTTTTTATGGCATCTTTCCCCAACATAAGTACTGCAGGACAGTGCTATGTATGGCATTGTTACATACTCATGTATAGCAGAAATGAACAGCTCAAGCCAGTCCCCAGAAAACTGCTTCTCTGTCTGCACCTACCTTTGGTCACGTACAAGTAGAAGAAGTCGCAGTAGAAGATAGTTTGCACTACCCCAGACACCACTGCGATCTGGTCATAGAAGTTCTCAGTCTGGTAGCGCCTGATCCAGTTGGCCAGGTAGAGTACGCGGTACAGCCCCAGGAAGAACAGGTAGTGTGTGGTGATGGTCTCGGCCTCTCCAGTCTTGCTGATCATGAAGAGCTGGGGCAAGATGGCCACTGACTCCAGGTAGATGGAGAAGGTCCAGAGGATCTGAGGCGGAGCAGAGCCATAGAGGTACAGCAGGGTCAAGAAGACCTGTCTACAGAAACCTAGGTACTATGTGATTGCTGGAGAGAACAGGGACGAGCACGAGAAACACGTTCTCAAGTGTGTGGCAGGATGGGGTCACTGGGCATACAACGTGGACCGCTGGGCCACGCACCAGCCATTAGAAGCTTTAATGTTTGCTTTGTGGTGGTGCTGGAGATGAACCCTAAGCCTCATGCATGCTAGGCAACCACTATACCACTGAGCTACAGCCCCCGTCCCAAGCTAGTATATTGTCAGAATACTCTTTCACCTTTGCAAATACAATTGGATTTATTTTAAAAGATTATACAGTATAAACTGCATGTTTCTATGGAACAATTGTAAGGTTGCAGTTTTGTTGAATAAACTGGCATAATTGAAGGCAGTTTCTCAAAATACAGCCCATAAGCAGCGCCAGCAGGATCTCCAGGAATCTCATTGCCCACATTTTTTGTAGGCTACCCCTCAGGCCTGCTGAGTTACAATCTCGGCCTACACTATGCTCTAGGGATCCTGTGTGTGTGTGTGTGTGTGTGTGTGTGTGTGTGTGTGTGTGTGGCTGTGGACACCTTGGCTATTAGGGATGTGCAGCAATAGTCATGATGGTGACACAGGCCCACACTCCACTGTAGGAGGCTAGCCCTTGTTTTCTTTTCTGCTTGCTCTCTCTCTCTCTCTCTCTCTCTCTCTCTCTCTCTCTCTCTCTCCCCCTCCCCCCCGTCTCTCTTTCTCCCCCCCCATTCTTTTTTGGTGGGGGTGTACCAGGAATCTCAGGACCTCCCACTTGCCAGGCAGGCGCTGCACCGCTGAGCTGAATCCCCAGCCCTGCCCTCACATCAGCAGTCAGTCCCCCTCTCACCTCCAGGGGTGTGAAACTATAATTCTCCAGGAAGGAAAGGCCGATGACAGGAACCAGAAGAAACTGCAGGTAGAATGTGTCATTCTCAATGTCAAATGTTTTACGGAATTTCCCATAGATCATGTACACTGTGACATAGGCACAGAGAAGAAAAACCACCTATAAAGGGAGAGACATGGGAATCTGTGACGTCATCTGCCATGCTTCGAAGCCTACCAGACCCAAGGCAGTGTCCCGTCCTCATGCCAAGGTGAAGGGTTTGGAAACACCTGGGCCCATGGCTAGAATCCCAACTTAGTGACACCTGTGAAGTAACTGCATACTTCTAACAGGGACTGGGCAATGTTAGCACATAGTCAGTGGTACCCTAGTTGACCCCTCCATCTACAGAGCATTGGGCAAAAAAACGAGACCAGCTGGGCGCAGTAGTGCACACATGTAATCCTATCATTCAAGAAGCTGAGACTGGAAGAACACAAATTCAAGTCTATACTAGAGTGAGACCCTGACTTAAAGCACCAAAAATAAAAATAACAGGATCAGTCTTCCTCAGGATTTAGCAATGGCAGTCTAGGGTTCTAAAAAAAACAACTCCCTGGATGTGCATGAGTGGCTTGTAAGCATTCCTCACAAGGGCTCATGTCTGCTGAATTATCTGGCTATAGTTCCTTCCGAGAAGCTCTGCAGTAGCTGTCCTGTGCTGGGCAGTGGTTCCATTTAGCTACACTTTTTTTTTTTTTTGGGGGGGACCGGGGATTGAACTCAGACCCTTGCACTTACCAGGCACGCACTTATTCTACTAAGCCATCTCCCCAGCCCCTAGCTATACTTCTAATCTTCCAGACCAGCTTCCTAAACGATCCATCAGAGTCACACTGGTGGCCGCCCTCATGGTGGCTCACTGGGCCACACCACACTCAACACCCCCTCAAAAGCCTCACCTTCATTATTGTGTTGTAGATGGAAATGAAGTTGGTAAAGAGGTCCAGGTACCTGGTGGTGAAGACAAGGGCAAAAAGGAGCTGGCTCTTCCCAGAGATGCCTGTGCCAGAGGGGACAGGAGACAATGAGAAGAGAGCCCCAGGCCCCCCGCACCCTGCCCCCAGAGTGGAGTCTGGAGTCAGGATGGCTTGGAGTCACCCTGTCCTGTCCTGAGGATCAAGCAGTTCAGCCCTCTCTTCAGCTTTCTGAAGTCCAGCTCCTCTCCGGTTCTTGTTCTGAGGAGGCGGTGGGGGGTGCTGTGAGCCAGGCTGTGCAGGGCTATTGAGGCCTCTCTGCGCCCCACCCCCAGGGCTCCAGTGACAATCCCCCAAATTTGTCCCTCCTAGGAGAAGGAACACTGAACCAGTGAGACCGAGGCCAGCAGAGGAAGGCACTGGCCAGAGGTGCATTCCATTTAATTTCCCAAAATGCAAAGATTTAAAAAGCCCAGTTCCTAGTTATAAAAAATATGTCCACTTTTACTCTATGAAACAAAAATCAGGTCTGAGGGTATAACTCAGTAGTAGAGTGTTCACTTGCAAGCAAAAGACCCTGGATTTCATTCCCAGCATCAGAAAAAAATGTATTAAAACAGTCTCTGAAAAAAAAGAAAGAAAAGAAAAGGAAAAGAAAATAGCCTCTGAGCACCTTTTGGATCACCGTGCGCGTGCACGCATGCGCATAGGCAACACAGGCGTGCTGGTCGACGCTGCCTTTCCTCAGTCCTCTCTTTTTCACTTGTTCCTGCGTCCCTTCACCAGCCCCCACCAATGCAGATTTCACTGATGACTGTTGGCTGCTCACTTCACTGAAGGCCAGAGCAAGCTGGAGCTGCTCACGGCCCGGAGCACGCCTGTCCCGCCAGTTTCCCACCACGCCCTCTTCCCACTCCAAGACCCAAACTTGGAGTGTGCTGCTCTTGTCCCTATGCGCCTTCAGTCCCTCTAAGCACCAGTGACAAGTCATGGAGGCAGTTCCAGGGCCAGACATGATGATGGACATACCTCCCTCACTACGGTGGACCTAGCCCCTGTCACTTCTCCAAACCACCACTATCCACGACATCCGCCATATTTCTGCACCCCAAAGCCAACTGTCCTTGCTCCCTCAGTGTCCTGAGAACCCTCCCATGGCTGCTCCCTCTTGTGGCTGCGTCCTCCATTCCACCTAACTCCCTTATCCCCTTCACGGCCTCAGCCACCCCTGCAGCTGGTCACCCCACTCCTAGGAACCTCCAGCTCCAAGCTCTCCTCTGAGTTTTGACCTGTGTTTCCACTGTCTACTCTGTACAGGGGAAGGGGTCCCCACAAGACCCAAACTCACCATAGCCCAGCTCAAACTCCCCATCTCCCATATTTCTTAGCTCTTCCCCCTGGACCCTAGTGCCCTCAGATGGCCCAGCTGCCCTGCTCTAATGACTGGCCTGCCCTCCCCATCTTTCATTGCTGCCTACCCAGCCCCCATTTCCATACTCCATCCAGCCATCCAAGGGCTCATTTGCTTTTTTTTCTGGAGGTACCAGGGATCAAACTCAGGGCCTTGCGCTTGCCAGGCAGGTCCCCCAGCCCTGTTTTCTTTTTTTCAAAACAGAGTCTTACTATGTAGCCCAGCTTGGCTTCAGATTCATGGAAGTCCTGCCTCAGCCTCCCGAGTGCCTGGATGATAGCAGTGTGCCAACCCCTAGTGGGGGATTGTATGTATGTATGTATGTATGTATGCATGTATGTATGCATGTATGTATTGTCTTTTTGAGACAGGGTCACACTATGCAGCTCAGGCTGGCCTCAAGCTTGCTTTGTAGCCCAGACTGGTCTCGAATTCTCAACAATCCTCCTGCCTCAGCCTCCCAAGTGCTGGGATTACAGACCTGTGCCACCATGTCCAGCTAGCAGGGGACTATTTTTAAAATGAAACTTGCTTAAACCACTTAAGTAGCTTCTAATTGCCCTTAAGATAAAGACCCAAAGCCTTATCCGGCCCTGAAGACCTGCCGGGACTGTCTCTCTCTAGTCGGTGCTCAGTCTTGCCCCTGTGCAGCCATAGCCGTGGTTCTGGGTGTCATTAAGAAGTAAAGGTTTTTTTTTAAAAAAAAAAAAGAATAAAAGGTCAGAGTCCCTGGGCACCTGATACCATGTGCTTTGGGGTGATGGCCACCGTGGGCTGGGTGTGACACAGCCAGGTGAGGTGCAGACCCAAGGTGGCTCTGGGCTCATAGATGCCGCCTTATTAGGCCCTGAGAACCAACCAGAGCCCATGCCCCATGAAGGATGTGCAGGTCCCAGGGGCAGCCTGCCTCCTCCCCCCAGGCCTTACCCACATTTCTCTTGTCTGTTTAGGGGCCCCGGTGACCTTGAGCACAGCAGTTTTCCCGCTTTTGTGAACAGGTGATTCCCACTGACCAAGGCAGATGGGAAACAGCCCAGGGTACCCCATTGAGTTGGCGAAGGGCGAGAACAAGGCCCACATCTCCAGCCAGGGTCTGGCCAGGCCCTCTTTCGGGCCGTCAGCACACACAGGCCTATCTGGACCATCACACTTCCCTTTTTGTTTCTCTGCAGCACCCGACAACCCTGAAAAACCAATCATTTCCTTGGTCACTCACACTGTCCCTTGCTGGTGGTTCTCCACCCTGGGGCTGCTCTGCCAGGCAGGCACCCTGGTGAGAGCTCCATCCCAGATGCCCAGCATGGTGCCAGGGAGAGAGGGCTTGCCCCTCTAGGTCCAAGCACAGAGATGGATTCCAGCCCCTTCTTCCTCTACCATCTGAGTGCCTGGCCCACTTCCCAGGTCCACAGCGACTGTCCCTGAAGCACCGTGCACAGCCACATCCACTGCCTCAAGCCCCACAGGTCACTGCTCCAGACCCTGCCCTCTCTCTTTCCCGCTCTGGATTCCAGACAGCCCTGCTTCAGGGCCTCTCATTAGCTTCCTCCCCTCCTCCCAAGCCTTCCACAGATCTCCAGTCCCAACTTCCCAGGCTCCTCTCCCTCAGGACCTTCCTTGGGACAAGCCCTGCCATGGTGTGTGGCGACCTCCAAGTGTCTGCACCTCCTTCTCAAGGGTATATCCTCCCCTCCAGAACCAGCACAGAGCTGCTCCTCCAAGTCTCTCCCACAGCACCTGGGCCACCGGAAAGGGACAAAGACTGCTGCAGAGTAGCCCCCGACTGCACCCGGTCTCTGTCCACCCTGTCCAGCCTCGAACTTCTCCTTGCCCCAGGGCCACTGGGCAGACAGGAAACCTCCCTCCACTCTACCCCCACCCCCGCCTAGGGCGGCTCCATGCCCACCTGGTCAGGCTGGCCTGCTCACGCCACATCACAGGCAGAGGAAGGAAGTGACCCAGCCTGGGGCAGGGGGAGCAGAAGAAGAGAAGAGCCTGAGTTTGGGGGCCACTGCCTGAGTGTGCACCCTATCTTTCCCCCACACCTCCTATGAGGGCAGAGGAGAGTCACTGGCTAGGATCAAGAGGGCGTCACCTCCTTATCTCCCTCCTGGTCCAACTCGCCCTGGGAATAAGGCTGGCTCGCTCGGAGGAGGCCAGGCTGGAGCCCTAAGTGGAGACACAGCCCATCCTTAGCCCAGTCTCTGTTGCCCTCCTGCTGTGATAATTAACGTATAACTTTTTTGGAAGTTGAGCTCCTTTTGAGCTGAAAGGGCCATTCTGCAGGGCCCCTGCTGCAGGCACAAGGCCGGGACAGGAACAGGGACAGGGACTCCTTCCCTCCAGGGGCGCCCCTCACCCTTGCAGCTCTTGGACTTCCAGATCTTCCCCAGGAGCAAGATCATGGCCAGGAGGTGGCTCAGGTCGCCGAGGATTCGGAACACGTTCATGGCCCAGCCCACTGGTCCTGCGCGCACCCAGCAGCGAACTCCCAGCAAACTTTCCGGCGCGCGGGGCGGCTGCCACGTCCCCGGTCACCGCCTCGCAGCGCCCCAGGCTCGGCCCGCGCCTACCGGTTCCTCGCGATCCCGGCCGCCGGGCGGTGACGTGGCCAGGCAGGGCACTGGGTGGGGAGCCAGGAAGCGGCGCCGCCGGGAGATCCCGCCTCCTGCCTTCGTCTGCCCTGCGCCGGGCGGGGCCGCCACAAGGGTCCCCGCCTTCGCTCCTGGGAAACCCGAGGCTTCCCAGGGGACCCCGGGCAGACCGCCTACTCGCGGTCTTCCAGTTCCTCTCTCCGTCCAGTCTCTCCCCAACCCCCACCCCCGCCCATTTATTTTTTCTGAGACAGCGTCTTGTAGCCCAGGCTGACCTCAGGCTCCATGGCCTCCTGCCTCAGCTTCCCCAGTGCTGGGATGACAGGCCCGGGTCCTCATTTCTTCACCGACCCGAAGACCCTGGCGCCTGGCTGACATGGATGGGGTCAGCCGTGCCAGTGCGAACCACTGCTACAGTCCTGCCCTGGACTAGGAGATCCTCATGGGGAGGGAAGAAGCTGGGACTGGATCCCTCCTCCCTTATCAGCAAATGTGGATATCCAGCATCAAGCTACCTGATCTCAGGATGTGATGACAGTGACAACAACTTCACAGGTGTAGTCCAGCTGACCTCTGTTCCAGCCTCCTCACGGTGGGCCTCAGCTTTTCCATCTGTAAAACAGGGTTGCTGCATGAATGAGGTGACATTTGTTGGGGGTACCTAGGGCCCTCTGCATGCCTCCCTCTTCTTGGGGTGTGGAGATGTCAAACAGGCATAGAGGACCAGGGAGACCCCAGGTGGCTGCACATCAGAAGGGTGTCGGACCTGTCAGTGCCATGTGACCTAAGCAGGTCAGATCCCCTCTCTGGGCGTCAGTCTCTGCATGTGTAAGAGTAGAGTGGATGAGCCAAGGGCCCTCACTGTCCTCTCCTCGACCCCTGTCACCTCTTCCTGATTTGGGTCCCTCCTCCTTCCTCCCACACATTGGCCTTGTCCCATGCTCTTCTCCTTCCTCAGACAGCCAGAGGGGCTTTCTCATGTCACTCCCATGTCACTTTCTTCCATGGCCCCAAGCCCTGGCATCCTCAGAGGCTCAAAGTGTGGCCCAAGGATGCAGAGTTGCTCCAACCCGCTGGGAGCAGGTCGGTCCCTCCCTGACCTCCTGCCTGGTGTGCCTCGGAGCTTCTGCCATCTCCACACTCCTCAGGCTATTGGGTTCTTGTGCACACGCAAGTGTGAGCAGTGCCGTCTCAGCTGCACGGCAAGAGAGGCACTGCGATTCCCCTTTACACATAAGGAAACAGGCACGGATATGCCTAAGGTCACAGTGCCACTGAGGGGCTGGAACCTGGATCCCGGCACTGCCTGACTGCAGGGCTTCTGCAGTTGAATCGTTGCATTACACTGTGGGCTGCTGTGGCAGGTGACAGCTCCCTGTCGTGAGAGGTGGGTAGCAGAGGTGGGGCCCATTTGTCAGAGAGGGGGGCAGGCCAGGGTAAGGCACACCAGGCAGGTCATCTCCATTCCCTCCACAGCGTGGCAGGTGATGGAACTTGAAAGGGAAGCTGCAGGGACCAAGGAGCCAGCCAGCACCACCTCAGGGCTGTGGCGCAGGATGGGACCTCCAGTCTGTGATCCCCTCAAAGCTCTCCCTAGATGCCCCCTCCAGCCGGTGCCCAGAGGAGGCGGCGGCTATTTAAATCCCTCAGGTGTGGCTGTGTTCTCTCTGCCCAGCCAGCTGGCATCTCCTGCTCAGCGCCCACCTCCTCTCTAAGCCAAGGAAGAACACGTGCATTTACCATTTGGTGAAACATCTGTCCTCCGGGAGGCAGCTTCAAGGGCCCTGTGAGGGGGCCCATCAAGGTTGGAATCCTCCTCTCTCTTTTTGTCTCAGGAAACCCCCAGGGACCTGGCCAAGGCTGGGAGGGCACAGCAGAGAGATCCAGGCTGCGTGAGCCTTGTTCTAACCTACACTGTGGGCCGGGAGCTGCCCAGGCCCTGAGAGGGGCCATCTCCCACCTTACTACCTGGAAAGTGACATTCAACTGAGGCTCAAATTTCCCTCCCCCACCCCATCCCACCCCAGCGATCCCAAAAGCTCTAGTGCTTGGTTCCAGTCCTTAGTCCTGCCTGTTTCCTAGCCATCCTGTGTCCTGGATGGGGTGTTCTTCAAAGCTTCCCTGGGAGGGAAGGGGAGCCCTCACTTTTTTGTTTATTTTCAGTGGTGGAGTTTGAATCCAAGGCCTTTCTACTGTACTACATCTCCAGCCCCCCTTTGTTATTTCTTCTTTTGAGACATGTTCTCACTGTCACTAAATTGCTCAGGCTGGGCTTGAAGCTGTGATGCTCCTGCCTCAGCATCTCAGAGTGCGGGGATTACAGGTGTCTGCTGCCGAGCCCAGCTTCCTTACCCACTTAGAGCACATCAAGGTAGTCCAGGCCAGCCCTTCAGCCCTCTGAGCCGCCATCTACAGTGTCCCCACCCAGAGGTAGATCTCAGCAAGCCCCTCATTCTTCTGGGCCTCAATTTCCTGATGTCCCAGAATGACCCTATTATAGGAATGCGATGGAGGGGAGCCCAAGAGAGTCATTTCATTCAGCTCCAAGGGCAAGAATCATTTTTCCTTTTATTAACAAAAAGCAAATTGTATGTTCAAGACCAGAGGAGGGTGTTGATCTATTAGAAAAAAAAATCTGTCTACATAATCTTTTTCTCTGTGTGATGGCCCTAGCTGTCACCACTGGGTTGACTGTCCTGAGTGGAAGGAAATGGGTGTGGGCAGTGAAAATCACATCCTTTGGACACCCCACCTTTGATTCTCCTCCTCTGGGAAAGGAGAAGGAAGAAGGAAGTATGGGGCTCCCCAGTAGCCTGAGGCCACCAAGGTGTCACCTGGCCCCAGATAGCAAGGTTCAAAGGTCCAGGCTCGGGGCCTTGGAGAGTCCATTTCCTAATCTGGTAGAGTGGGTTCCACTCCAGGTGTTTGCAAAGTCCTTTCCCTTGTACCAAAGAGCCAGAGCCACCTCTCTTCCACTTCTAGTTCCAAGCTAGTTTATTGAAGATCAACTGTGGGCCATGTGCCTTGGGATGAACGCAGATGCAGCTATTGGGGAGCCGTTGGGTGCTTTGTGCAGGTAAGAGGAGAGTGTGAATACTCTCGAGGACGGAGGTCTCTGTATGGGTAGGAGCTTGTGGTTAAGGAAGGCACAGGGCTGTTGGGCCATGGAGATGGCTCAGTGGAGTAAGTGCTTCCCTGGCAAGTGCAAGGGCCTGAGTTCAATCCCTGGTTCCGCCAAAAAAGAAAAAAGGAAGGCACAGGGCAAGTGATGCTAAGGGCTTTGAAGGCTGAGTAGGAATTTGCCACACACGCAAGATCTGGAGGAAGAAAAGAGTCCTAAGAAGCAATAAATGCACAAAGACAAGAGATGATGTGGCCTGCTCTCTCGGTGCCTTGTATCTGTACTGTTGTTTAAGGGGAAGATGAAAAAGATCATAGCGAATTCAAGGATGAACTTCCACCAACAGGAGCTTTCCAAAGTTTATTCAGTCTTTTGGAGTCAGTCTTTGAAAGGCCGTTCCTCCCTTGCCGCTCTTCCCCCGGACCTCCTCCAGGTGTAATAATTCTGGGCGCTGGGGCCATCCTGTATCTTGATCCAGGCGGCAGTGACAAGGGTTTTTTTAATACATCTGCCAAAATTCATGGAGCTGTACTACTGTTTGTAAGTTACATCTTAATTAAGGGGGGGGAGACACTGTAACCTGGGCCACGCCCCCGCCCGGCCCCGGCCCCGCCCCCGGCCCCGCCCCCGCCCCCGCCCGCCCTAGCCGCTGGCGACAGGTGTACTCCGGGAGGAGAGACTCCAGCGACGCCGTCTCCACCCGGCGCTCTGAGTCGCGTGCGGCGCCGGGGCCTGGCCAGGTTCCCACGGCAACCGCAAGCCGCTCTCGGCTTCTCCAGAGCGACGAGGCGCGAGCCAAGACCCGGAGCCCGGATTATAGAACCGGAGCCACAGAAATATCGGGGCTGGCCGATGTGAGAGAGAGGCCGCCCTTGGTCTACAGCTGGCGTCTCGACGGCACCCTGCGAACACCACTCCCCAACCCTGACGGTGGCCACGAGTTGCTGCTCCACACGCGCCTGGGGATTCCTTCTCTGCTTTGCAGGTGGGGAGACGAGGGCTTGGTTCACCCCCAGTATCATCGGAGAACGAGGGGCGAAGTCAGGCTCTGACCCCGCGGCCTGCTTCCTGCCCTCCAGCGGACCAGGTGGATGGCATGAGGGCCTGGGGCCCCGGCAACTCCTGGGGCTCCGGTTCTGGCTCTGCTAGGAACTTTCTTGTGGTCTTGAAGTCCCCTCTTCTCTCTGGCTCCCAGTGAGTGATGAGGTACCATCACCAGTACCTCAGAGTAGCTGTCAGCAAGTGTGTGAAGCCACCAGCGAGTGTAACAGCAGCCTGTAAGCTGTAAGGGTCTTGCACATGTCGAGGTCCATCACCGCTGCCTCTGTAGTGCCATCTTGTCCTCTTCGTCACTCCAGCCCCAAGGGCTGCCTCGGTGACATCCAGCTGCACAGGGAGCCTGGTCTCAGAACTCTCCATGCCCAGAGATTTCCAGCCTGCAGGTGAGTGGCTCCATCATCCCCTCCCCATGGAGTGGCCCAAGGCGGCTTGCCAGGGGCCAGGGACCCTCTGGTCCCCAGACTTAGAGGGGAGCACAGAGGCGGCCTCTGCTGTGTGGCTGGGTTGTAGAAGCCCCCACCACCACCACCAAACGAAGATTTCGGGGGCCACTCAATGACACAGGCCACTGAGTTATGAATGTCCTTTGGATGCCACATGCTGGGCATGTGTTTGGACAGTCTGTGAATGTGTGTGTCATGTGATGGTTGTAACTGGCGTCTATGCCTGGCGTGAATCCATCAGTGTCTGTGTGCACTTGCGATGTGTACTTGAGTGTGTGTCTGTCAATGTGTGTGTTTATGGCTGCGTGGACGGTGCATGCAGGTGTGTGTTGTGCGCTCGTGGCATATGTGTTTACCGTGCATCTATTTGCGTCTTTGCTGGTGTGTGTGCAGCTCTAAGTGGGCATGTGTCAGGCTGCACTTGTGGATGCGTGACACTGTGAGGACAACCGTGGTGTATGGCAGCACACTGGAGGGTCTTCAGGCAGCACTTCTGTCTCTTCCCTCACATGGGCGACCCTCTTCCTCTGACTGAGGACTGTGTACAGAAAGCAAGCACGCCCAGGCCAGCTCCTGCCCCTTCCACACACCTTTGGCCAGGGCTACCAGGGGCCAGGATGGGAGGGTGAGCTTGGAGCTGGGGCTAATGTGACACCCCTCCCTGCCTGGCCTCCTCCCCTTCCCACAGCAGGAGCAGCAGCGGGAAAGGTTGGCGGAGGGGGGCTATTTTGGGAGCGTCTCCTTAGCAACAGCTGCCACGGCCGTCTGTGGCGGTTTTTCTATAGGTGCTAAAATATTCCACCCTGGTGACTACTGATTGCGGGGGGTGGATATGGGTGAGGGTGGAGGGCAGGAGAGACCCCTACAGCCCTCAGTCCCTGGGACACAGCCTTCCAGGATGGGTTCTCACCCTCTGGACTCCCTACGTCTTTCTCCCGACCTCTGGACCTTACCCATTTGGAGCTGCCAGGATTTTGGAGCCCAGAGGCAGCCAGCTGTGTCCTGATTTGATTTCTCCTCTGTGCAGCTGGGTGGCCTCAGTTTGCCTCATCTGCAGAACAGGTTGGCTACCCTTTAAAAAGCTCTCCAATCTAAAGCTCTGGACTGCAGCTCTGGCATTTCCAAGTAGCCCTTTCTCTCTCCTGCTCATCTCTGTCACCTGCCTGGCCCCAGTCCCCTAGTCTTGCCTTCCCAGACCTTTGCACAGCCTCTCAAGGCCCTGTAGGACCCAGGACCCCTGCGCAGGCTCCCAGAGCTGGCTGGGTATCAAGCGCTGTGCTGGCCTGGAATGACCTTTCTCCAATCCTATCCTTGGAGTTGAAACTGGTTCAAATCCTCGTTCAGACACTTGCTCTCTCCCTGACCGAGCTTGGGCAAGCTGCATCCTCTCTGTGTGGATCAGATCCACGAGGAGTTGCAGCAGCCTCTGCCTTGTGGAGTGGTAGGGGTCAAATGGGAGATGGGAACTGGGCAGGGAGCTCTGGCAAAACGGATGGATGTGTGGATGAAGGATTTCCCATCATTCCCTCTCAGACTTCAGTGTGATCCTCACTTTTGTCTGCCAGAGAGTTCTCCAGCTACTTAGGTCATACATTCAGAAAAGCACCCATGGCTCAGTTTTCCCATTGGTACAGTGCCTGTATCAGAGAGTTCTTGGAGGGGTCAGGTGAGACGGTGGCGCATTGATCTGGACTAGTGCTAGGCTATGCCGCAAGCTTCTCAGAGCCTCACTCTCCTTGCTCCTGAGGGTGTGCTTACCAGGCCTGCTTGCAGCTACAGCCTCCACGACAGAGGACGCCTCTGAGGCCCAGAGAAGACAAGCAACTTGCTCAGGGACACAGAGGTGCTGATGCTCATGCCTTTCTCCTAGTGCCCTTACACACACACACACACACACACACACACGCACACACGCACACGCACGCACACACACACATACATACACTGACTGCTCCACATGTATTTCACATCATTCCTCCCCACCCCCCACCTCAAACAGGGACAGAAACCATTCACACCCTGGGCTGGATGAGGCAGATTCCTCCTTTCAGCTTTAATCATCCTCAAGACAGCTGCCCAGCGCAGGTGTTCTCCTTCCCACTCAACAGCTGAGACCCAGGTGCAGCGAGGACAGGTGAGTGGTCCAGGGTAGGGATTGTCTTTCTTGGTGTCCCAAACCTCTGCCCACCTGGAGCTGCCCTCCTGCTTCTTACCTCTTCCTCAGCCACCCTACTTGTGGGGCTAGAGCACCTGACCTCAGGGAGCAGCACAGGCCCAGCCAGGTGACCCCTTCCCTGCCACAACTGTAACCTGGCATTGGGGGATCCATCCTGCAGGAGAAGTCTGCACCTAGGTGTCCCTGACCTGCACCCTGCCTTCTCTCTGTCCTCTCTCCCCTGCACCCACACTCCCTGCATCCCGCCACTTCCCGCCTGTGCAAGGCACCAAGGTATACACTGTTGCTACTTGGGTGCTTAGGCTGCTGGTCCCCCCATCCACACACATGTGAAATTCACACCAGGGGACATCAGTCCTGCCGGCTGCCTAAGGGCACAGCAGGTTCACAGGGGGGTAGGAAGGAAGGTACCAATGGAGACAGTACCCTGTGGCCCTCCAAAGTCTCTACAAAGCAGGAGCCCCTACGCACTGGCCACCACTCTGAGCTATGCCCTTTTTTCCCCCCCGCATCCACCAAGCTGAACCTGTCCCCCAGCATAGGCATGTGTTAGGTTCTGTAAAGTGCAATAAACAATTAACAATAACAATTAGAAATAAACAATTCAGGAAAGGTCATGTAGCTCCTCAGCACTTTTGAGCCTGGTTGACCTGACTCCCAGCCTCCAGGAGTATGCAGTACTGAACCCTACTCATGCTCATCCTGGGGGCTGGCGCAGGGCAACTGGCAGAATGAGTGAGTTGCTGGAGCCATGAGGAGGCCCTCTTGGGGAAGTGACACAGGAGGCCAATCTTGGAGAAGAGCTGGGGATCCCTGGGCAAAGAACTGAGAAGGGCATTTTACGCAGAAGGAACCGCACACACGGAGAAGTGTGGAGGCATCTGGTGTGTTCTGGAATCTGTGGGAATCGGGGTGTACGTGTGGGTATGTGGTACGCAGGATAAGGTGGGACTGAGGAGTTGGCACTGGGCCCCTTCGGGCAGGGTGCTCTCACAGGGAAGGCAATAGTCATAGTGGTCCTGTCCTCAGGGGTCAGCCAGGAGGAAGGGAGGAGGGACTTTAAATTCACCCAGCTCTCCTCCACCTGTCTGTCTCTGAACCAAAGACAGCCAGGATCCCAGAAAGTTCTAGGTCTAAGCCTTCTTTCTTTCCTCCTGCCCCTTCGAGAGAGAAGCACGGATGCCAGTGAAGTGATAGAAGGGCCACGACACAGCCCGCTCACCGACGACTGCGGGGTGCAGGGGCTGCCCGAAGACAGGGCCCAGACGGGGGGGGGGGGGGGGCGCAGGGCTGCTGCAGGGCTGCTCCCTTAGGAAGACTTAGGTTAGTAAGATCCGAAATGGGTGCTGGCAGAGAATACGAGCCCAGGGTTTAGCCTGGCTGTGCCACCTCCAGGTGACCTTGGGCGGACCCGCCTGGTGCTCAGAGTGCGGGCCTGGAAAGCAGGCGGTGCTGGCAGGTAAGCAGGAGGCTCCTTGGACTGGGGCCACTTCGGTCTCCTGCAGCAGGTGCTTAGGGTCCCTAATGCTGGACCTTCAGGAGGGAAAGAAGATCCCCAAAGGAAGACCGAACACCCGGGACCCCAAGCTGAACGTTTGCTCCCACCCACCCCTCCCCTGAGGCGAAAAGCCCTCCCCACTCCCCCTGGGGGGCTGGAAAACCCGGGAGCGGATGCACGGAACGCGTTCTGGGAGGAGCGCCCGTGGGCGCAGAGGAAAACCCGGCCAGGATCTTGGGCAGGAGCAGGGCCGAGCAGCCCCTAGCCCAGTCCCCTGCCCGGCGCCGCGCGCCCTATGCGAGCAAGTTTGATGCCGGAGTCGGCACAGGGGACCTGGCAGGGCCTGGCCTCGCGTGCCTCCAAGGGCTCCCGGCTGGGGGCGCGCTCGGCTCCGCAGCGGGGCGCGGGTCACGTGTGAGGAGGGGCGAAAGTGTCACTGCGCGGGGCGGCGTTCGAGAGTTGGGAGTTCTCGGCGCGCCGCAGGCGGCGGGAGCTCTGGCTCCCGGGCAAGCCGGGGACGGGCGGAGGCGGGGACCAGGGTCCCAGACAGAAGGGGCACCTCGAGAAGGAGAGAGACTGGGAAGGACTGAGCCATCCAAGGAGACAGTGAGGGACACGCAGGGAACTGAGGCAGCACAGAAGCCGGGGAGAGGCGACAGGGACCCCTCCGGGAGACAGCGACAGAGCCCGGCCAGCCAGGGCGGCGGGGAGGAGCGGGCAGCGAGAGCGCAGGTGGCAGGGAGCGGGGAGGGGACCCCAGGCCAGGTGGCCACGAGGGTCGCGGGTTGGGGAACAGCGCAGCGGGGCTCAGAGCTAGGTGACAGAGAGGGACTGCGCGGGGCGCGAGCGCGGGCGGCGGGGCGCCCTGGGCCCCGGACGCCGCGCTCCGAGCCCGGGCCGGGCCGAGGATGCTGACGCCCCGGCGGAGCCCAGGGCGCGGCGCAGGGCGGCGCTGAAAGTTGGGCACACGGGAAACGGCGCGGGACGGCGCGGAGACCGCGGACAGGCGCGGACAGAGCCGCGCAGCGAGGGGCGCCGGCTCCCCGCTCCTGCTTGGACACCGGGGGATGTAGCGCCGCCCACGCCTCTGGACACTCGTGAGACCCTCTCCGCCCCGCGGTAAGCGTCCGTCCCCTCGCGCGTGTCTGTGCGTCCCAGCGGCCCGCTCCGCACCTGATACCCTACCCGGGTCCCGCTGTCCCGCGCGCGTTTGGTCCCGTGATTCCCGGAGCCGGCACATTGTCCGGGTGTCAGTGGATGGTCTAACGGTTTTGAGAAGAAGAGAGGTAGAAAAGGCATCTTGACCTCCTGCCCCGGTCATGACCCTCGGCTGCCTCCACCCACCCCCACCCCCGTTGTGCCCCAGAGATTCAAGGCAGCTGACTTGTAGCCAAGTGTAGGGCGTGAGGGTGTCTCTCCCATCTCCCCACCTGCAGCTTTTTTGCAAATGGCCCTGGGATTTGACCAAAATCCCTCTTCTCCTGTGTTTAATATTTACTCTGCCAAGCAACCCAGAGAGGGTGGTCAGAGGTCCAAGAGACGCAGCCCATTCCCCTTGTATAGGGATGGAAACTGAGGCTAGGGAGGTAGAAGACTGCTTTTTCTTCCCACAAAGCGGTGTGATGAGCTGGAGAGAACTTGCCCCGCTACCTGCAGAATGTTCCCCACCTGCATTCTGCCCACCACAAGGGACAGGAAGGGTGCAGTGCAGCAGAGGCTAGGGGAGGCAGGTGGCTGGATCTTAGCAGGGGACCTGTATTTTGATGCCCTGGGGACAGAGGGAAGTGTGTGACATTTCTGCTGACTATCCAGCCCCATGGGCTTCCTGGCTGCAAGCCTTGGGGGTTGCTAAGGACCCAGAGTCACTCAGTGGCCCTGCTCGGCCTCTGATAAGGGAGCAGTGGAAGAATAGGCAAGCTGGGATTAGGGATGGGACATGGTCTGCTGGCCACTGAGCCAGGCTGGAGCCCAGAGGACCCCTGCCTAGAACATTCGATTATAGTTTCCCCTGGAAGGAAGGGTTCTTTCTGGGGTTTTCCACACTGGGCAGCCAACCTCATGCATCTTCCATGCAGGTGCTCAGAAATTAGCTCAGCCAAGGAGACACTGCTGGGTAGGGCACTCAGCTCCCTCAGCCTCAACTTGCACATCTGGGAAATGGGGACATCACTGTCTGCCCCACTGACCTCCAATAGATTCTGTGAGCAGGAGGCTATTCCCAGACTGGGGGAAGCACTGGCAGATGGGGTGAGGATTCATTTACCCTTAAGGAGATGAATAGCTAAATGGGGGGAGGAGGCAAGGGAAATATAGCTGGAGACAGGGGCCTGATCAGAGGCTGGAGAATCAAGGAGTTAGAGCAGGGACCTGGGGCTGGGGAGCTATTCCTCATGACCCTCTGGGCTCCCTTGAAAAGAGGTCTCCTTTCCTAAGCAAAAAAAGAACCTTTGAGGTGACTGTGACCAGACAGCTGGGTCTGGGTTTCTGCTGAGGTCACCTTGGACATCTGGCTTGACTTCTCAGGACCTCAGTTTCTTTCACTGGAGAATGGGGTGGTGATACTGACTTTGCTGAGGTGTTGAGTCCTGTACTGGCTGCACCCCAGTTTGGGGGAGACCGGAGCACAGTAGGAACGAAGTAGCGTAGGGTGCTATAGAGAGCTTCCCAAGCTTCGGATCTGAGGAAAGGAGGAACAGAGCAGGCTTACAGGGCAGGCTGGTTCTTAATGTGGATCTGGGGGTGGTGGGGGCGAGTGCTGAGGGGGGTGTGAGGAGGAGGGGGCCCCTGTGCGGGGACCACTGAGTCACGAGGACATGGAAGCGGCATGACAACCAGCAGCATGGTAACCAGGAAACTAGCAGCGGTGGGAAACGGAGCTGGAGCAGTGTGTTGGGGTGGGGGTGGAGGCCAGGGCTGGCAGGCGAGCCTGGGGGTCAGGAAGCAGCCAGGCTGAGCCTGGGGGGCAACCAGGAGGACTCCTACCAGGCTGACCGAGAAGCAGCTCAGTGTTGCCTTGAAGGAGGGCCGCACCTTGGGGTCTGCAGGGCAGGGGGCCTCTCCAGCACCTCCCCAGGCTCCTCTTCTCCTCCACATCTCCACTTTTCGTGCCTCTCCCCCTAGGATGCCAAATTTGGCTCACGCAATCTGTCGTCTCTCTTCTGAGATTGGCACTGGGACGCAAGCCGAGCGCATTACATCACCGCCCCCCCTGGCGAAGGGAGAGGGAGGGAAAGGGACTGAGGCGGCCGGGGCCAGCGGCCAGCCTGCAACTTTCTTTCCTACCTTCAACTTACCCTTTCCACCTCAGGGGCAGGCCCCGGGAGCTTTTGTGGGCAGCCACGAAAGGCCCAGACGCAGGACACAGCTCCAGTCCTGGGAGATCCCAGGACCCAGGTCATAAGTCAGGCCATAGACTGTCCTCCACCTGGACTACATGAGGCCTGGGAGGCCGAGGACCTTGACTTGCCATTGTCTCACTCTGACCCAAGGCAGGTCCCTCCTCCCTGATGCAGAGCTCACAGCTGTCTGAGCATTGGCCACTCAAGGTCTTGGTGACTCCTGCAAGGAGAGGCCTTAGTGTCCCAGCTCTCCTGGGCCCAGAGGAGGACAGACCCTACATTTGGAATCTCTCCCTGTGACCTTGAGCAAGTGCTGACCCCTTTCTGCCTCATCTCCTGACCTGTAAAACCGGGCTGAGGGCTGAGAGCTCAAGGCAGCCTTCTAATGGAGGGCACCAGGGAGAAGACAATCTCCTGCCCTGAAGCCACAGACACCTGGGGCCCTCTACCTCCAGCAGGCTGGCTGGAGATGGGGAACACCCCTGCCATCGCCGCGATGGTAAGATGGGGTGGGAAGGTGGCTTCAGTAAGTCAGAAGCCTTGGAGCTTTTATTACTGGTCTGATGCCTTCATCTTACAAAGGTGGAAACTGAGGCCAAGGGAGGGTTTCCCTCCCAGGCACTGGGACAGCTCGGGGGTGGGTGGAAAACAGAGCAAGACCCGAACCCAGGGCGCCTGGCTCCAAGCCCAGGCTGGATGTAGAAATGAGGTAAATTCCCACCCGTGGGACCCTGTGGCGAGCCAACAAGACCTGGAGCTCGAGGGACCAGCTCCAGCCTGGCTTCCTGCCCAATCCCTCTCTGCCCCCCCGGGTCCCCTCACCAGCCCCACCCCCATTTGGTCTGTTGAGGGATTCTTTAGATGCTCCTTCGTGAGCCACTTTCAGGCAGTCCCAGGCTGGGACAGGCTAGATTTGAGGCTAAACTGGAAGGTTATGGCCCAGACTAGCAAACTCCCAGAGCCGGAGGCAGCTGTGGATATTTGGTGACACCCTGAGCTCCTAGCTCCCAGGGCTACTTATGTAGAACCAGGGAGAACCCTAATGCTTTTTTTTTTTTTGTTTTGTTTTGGTCTTTTTTTGGTGGACTGGGGATTGAACTCAAGTCTTTGCACTTGCCAGGGAAGCGCTTATTCTACTGAGCCATCTCCCTGTCCCTGAGAACCCTAATGCTAACCCTCTTGACTCCTACTTTGCAGGTAGGGCTGAATGGCACCCCCGCATCCAAGCTCCCAGGCACCCCAGCTATTTTCAAGGAGGCCATGGGAAGTACTGCCCATCCTTACCTGCCCACTTCCCATTGCTATTATGGGCAGGCACTGGGCCGAGAGCTTTCGCAAATTTTCATTTAATCCTCTCAGCACGCCTGCACTGTTGATTTAAAACAGTGATGGAGACACCAGAGCCCAGACAGTCTGTGTGATTTGCCCAGGGTCACAGAGCAAGGACAGGTGCAGGGGCTTGGGCTTGGGTTTCAACTGAGCTGACTCTCCAGCTGACCTTCCTGGACCGTCTTTGGGGCTTTCATGGGAGAAGGGTAGAAAATGTCTCTCACCGGGGCTGGGGCTTGGCAGGAGGTGGGCTAGCCACCTTCACAGCCTGACACCCCCTCAACAATCTTGTGGTGGCTGCGTCCCCTATACCTGTGGCCAGAAATGTGGCATTGCTGGTACAGAAGGCTGAGAGAGTCATGGCTTAGTCAATGCTCTGGGGAGGAGAGATTCAAGGAACAGGGGATGAGGTTACCAGGGAGGGCAGGGGTCACCTCTGTCTTTGCCCTGTCTAGTGATCACCTGCCACCAACCCCCCAGCATCAGTGTCACATGAGAAAACAGTGGGAACTGCCTGACAAGAGACATCCTTGCTGTGGCTCGCTGTGTGACCCCAGGCAGGCAGTCGCCCTGTCTGAACTTGATCTCTTTCCACCAAGGGCCGTGATGGTGTAAAGCTCCTCCCAGCCTCATGGGACCCCGGGGGCCCTGGCAAGGGGCGGGCAGGAATTCTGGGGGCTGGCGTAACCTTTAAGCCTTCTGCGTGGCCTCAGCCCTCCTTGGGGTGTGGGGGATCTCCAGACTCAGCCCTTCTTCTCTTTTTCATCTTTATTTTTCTCCTGCTCCCTCTTCCCCTCACTACGTGGGCTGATCGCTGCTCAAACTTTTAATTCAGATGGTAATTGAAATAATAATATGGGCTGAGGCCCCTCTGCTGGTGACGCTGCAGCTGGTAGAGCTCAGCTATGAATAGCGCTTGAGTCACACACGAGCGCTCCTGCGGGCGCACGCGCGCTAGGCGCAGGGGGCGGTGGGTGGGGTGCGGCATGGGGGGGCAGGGGGCTCACGCTCTGTTAAAATCCGGGTCCTGCCCCCACTTCTCCCCAAGACCTGAGTCAGCACTGCCGCTGTGGTCATTGGGCAGGTCCCTGGGGGACCCTGGAAAACTGGGGGCATGGGTGGTACTTACTTACAGAGGGGAAACTGAGGCCCGGCAGGGGAGTGGCTGCTAAAAGCAGTGAGAACCTGTCTGGGACTAGATTTGAACAGGTGGGGTTTGCCTAAGTTTACATCATGATTCTTTTCTAGGATACATGGGACAGGGACATGTGGGGGTTGGGGTGCTGGGGCTTGGCCCCATCCTGGGCCTCCTCCCAACACATGGGTGCTTGTGCTCCCCAAAGACCCAGAGGGCTGCTGATGCTATTGCTTGGCACCTGGGGTGACAAAGAGGTTTTCTTGGGGGCATTGCCACAGGAAGAGGGACTAGTTCCTTCGTGTGGGACTCAGTGC